GCATTGATTGTAGGACTAAAGTAGCCTATATGGCGGCTGAACTCAATGAAAACATCGGAGGATTTAAGCAACCAAAATGGGTATGTGTTAATAAGCCCGGACTTGTTGTCCCTAATCCGACCGAGACTCTTGGAAGCTGTCCCGCCACTTGTCATTACACCCCGGCAATGCACATCTCCTGTTATACATCGGCCTCAATTTGTGTTCATAATCAAGGAAAACAGTATTTTGAGGCCATCCTAACTAACACCCGTGGAGAATGGGGGACCACTTATAATTATATTCCTTTTCTTGGTGACCAGGGAGGGGAAGGCATCACGACTCGGTTAACGGAGGCGGGATGTGAGGGCGTCGTGGGTAAACCTTCCTGCTGGCCCATGCAGGCCCCTATCGGAGTCTCTGATGGAGGGGGACCCACTGATGCTATCAAACACCTTCAGGTGATTAAGCTTTTAAAGCCAGAGATCCCTAAGCCTACATACCACCCCTTGATATTGCCCAAATCCCAGTTTCCTGATTTAGATGCCAATACATTAGATATCCTAGAAACTACCTTTTCTTTACTTAACAGTTCCAACCCTACCCTTGCTGGTGATTGCTGGCTCTGCATGATGGCAGGTGCAGTCATGCCATTGGCGGTTCCCATCAATTATACCATTGATGATGACAACACATGTCAATCTGGGCTACCCTTTAAGGTGCAGCCTCTAGGTGGTTTTATGTCATGCCTTCTGAGCATGATGCAAAATAATACCTATGATGTTGATGTTGGAATCTCTTCCTTTGGAAACTGCTCATTAGTAAAGAATTACTCCTCACCTACTCCGCCCATTTGTCCCCCTAATGGTACAGTTTTTATGTGTGGTGGAAATTTAGCTTTTCCCAGGCTCCCAGCAAATTGGACTGGTGGTTGCGTTCTGGCATTACTGCTTCCTGATATCACGATTATCTCAGGAGATGAACCCCTACCCATTCCTAGCCTAGACATCTTAGTTAGAAGACACAAGAGAGCTGTGCAGGCCTTACCACTCCTTGTTGGCCTTGGAATAACCGCTGCTGTGGGTACAGGCACGGCAGGATTGGGTACGGCTATACATTCTTACCGCCGCCTATCTCAACAGCTTATAGATGATGTGCAAACCCTGTCGGGAACCATTAAAGACTTACAAGACCAGATAGACTCCCTAGCAGAAGTAGTTCTTCAGAACAGGCGGGGTTTAGACTTGCTTACTGCCAATCAAGGGGGAATTTGTTTAGCCCTTGGGGAGAGGTGCTGTTTTTATGCTAACAAATCTGGCATAGTTCGCACAAAAATTAAACAACTCCAAGAAGACCTAGAAAAAAGGAGGAGGGAATTATTTGAGAACCCTCTCTGGACTGGACTTAATGGATTTTTGCCTTATCTTCTTCCCTTATTGGGACCATTGTTAGGCCTCCTTCTAGTAGTGGCAATAGGACCCTGCATTGTAAATAAGATAGTACAATTCATTAAGGATCAAATTAATATCTTAGCCTCTAAGCCAATACAGGTTCACTATCAACGCTTGAAGATGGATGATCGCCCCTCTGAGATATACTTCAGACCTATCCGAAGATGAGTGTCCTCCTTAAAAGAAAAACTCCTGCCATATCTTTTCTCTATGCATACCTCTCCCTCTTGCCTTCCTGTATTAGGATCTTTGCTGTCTAATCTCTCGGTCCGATCACATCTGCCATTCGGTAGTGACGGTCATGGGTCCCGTAGGTGGAGACGGTTAAGCGTTTACCGCAATAGTGTCTTGATAGGTCATAACACCTTGAGCTGATCTTGTAGTACCCAGTGACGGGCAACTTTCATGCTTGCTGTGCGACCTAAGCCAGGGAATCGGGGCCTTCCCAGAGACGGGTAAGCATCGCAAGGGCTGTGAACGACCTAAGACAGGGGCTACTTGATTCCCACTGGCATGCAAAAAACAAAAGAGGGGGACTTGTTGGCAGCAGGTCCACCCTGGCCCCTGGAGCCCTACCTCCACTAGTTTGTTCTGCATGCCAGTGTGGCCAGCTCACAAGGCCATGGAGAACTTGCGGTTTTTCTGTTCCTGCTTGTCCGTCTGAGACATATGTATCCCACGGGAATGCCTTGACCTTTTCTGGTCTGATGGACTTATTGTTAAGGGAGGTTTCGGTACCTGACAATAATAGATGTTGAAACTAAATTTCTCCCCCCTCCCTCCTGCTTTTGGGTAGTTTTCCACTTCTGCTGCTTGGGGTATAAAACAAGGTGTGTTAGCAATAAAGATTATTGACTCCTGGATGAAGAACCTTGGTGTCCTGTGTGTCTTTTAACCTCGCCGTCCCTCGCCGGACTCGGCTCCCTTGGCCGGACGCGGCAAATCTAAATTTAAAGACAACATAGCCCAATCTACACCTGTGGAGCCTAATCCCCTGGAACCTCTTTCTACACTATGACTAGGAAATTTATTATGTAGGCTGGGTATTATTAACAACTGTGCTATTCTATCTCCAGGTGAAATTACTGATATACCTCTTGGAGAACTAGCTATAATTTTTATTTCACCTACATAATCGGGATCAATTACCCCAGGACTTATCATAAGTCCTTTTAATGTAGATGAACTACGTCCCAGTAATAAGCCTACTGTTCCTTGGGGAAGAGGTCCTTTTACTCCTGTGGGAATGATTTGAACTCCCATCTCTGGAGTTAATACTGCTCTGGCAGAGGCACAGATGTCCAACCCTGCGCTCCCTCAGGTTTGTCTGATGAGGGATTTAATGGACAATGTGTCCTGGGCACTACCCTGATGGTGTTGCTGGGATCCTCCACTGCCCCGTATATTTGTGGTTGTGGGCCCCGGAGCATTGGGCCCCCCTGTCCGTTTTTTGGCAATGGAGCCTGATGCCTTTCTCCACGATATCTTGGATAAATACCTGGTCTTTGTCCGTTTTTTGATAAGGGAGTACCTTCTATGGTGGTTTGAGAACGGCATTCATTAGCCCAATGTCTCCCTCTACGGCATCGTGGGCAAATACCTGGTATTCTATTCCTTTGATACCTACTTTTGTTAAACCCTCCTCCTATGGGGCAATTCCTTTTAAAATGTCCTGTTTTTTCACAATCATAGCATGTTTTTGGCCTGGCATCTAAAGCCTGTTGTACTGCAGCTGCCAAGACTTGCCCTTGTTCATTAATATCTCTACATAATTTAATATATGTGTTTAAATCTTCATGTCTCCATGGTCTAATAACCTCTCTGCAGCAACGATTTGCTTGGTCATAAGCCAGTTGTTTTATTAATGGCATTGCTTGTTCTGTATCCCCAAAAATTTTGGCAGCCGTTTGAATTAGCCTATCTACAAAGTCAGCGTAAGGTTCATTAGCTCTCTGTATTACCTTAGATAATTGACCTTGTAAATCTCCATGTCCTTGTAAAGTCTTCCATGCCCTAACTGCGTCTGCAGCAATTTGTGCATATATAGCAGGATCATATTCAATTTGTTGCCGTTGACCCTCATAAGGTCCTTTTCCTAACAACATATCTAGATTTCTTTGAGGGTAACCGGCTGCTGCATTTCGCCTAGCTGTCTCCGCGCAAAATTCCTCATTGGCAACCTTCCATAACAAATATTGTCCTCCATTTAGTACAGATTTACACATGCTAGCCCAATCTGCTGGCGTCATGTCCAAGTTAGTAATGGACTCAACCATGCTTACCGTGAAGGGAGCTTGGGGACCATAGGTTGTTACAGCCTCCTTTAACTGCTTCACTGTTTTAAAATCTAAAGCACGGTGAATTCGCTGCCCTCCTGCCTGTTCAAGTACAGGGCATGCTAATCTTTGAGGTCCTGTCTCAGGATCCCATTTATCAACTACGGGGTTTGAGGGCCACTCAGCTGTCTCCATCGGTGGGGCTGTTGGTTGAATTACGCCCTCTTGTGATAAAACGGAGTTACTAAAAGCCTCCTGTTGTGGCCTTTTTCCTAACAACCCCTTTTCCTTTAAATTTTCTTCCTCTGTCTGACTAGCTCGAGAGACCTTCTCTTTTGTTTGATCTAAAATGTCTTTCTCCATGGTCTGAACCTCTAACAATTTACTTAACATCTTTTCGGTTTGTTTTTTACTAATTTCTAATCTACTATAAAGATAACGCAACCCAATAAGATAGCACAAAACAAAGCCGAAACTGAATGAAACAAAAACGGAATAAAAAATCGTTGTATCAATTTTCTCTTCCTCAGGGCCGACAAACTTCAAACCTTTAGTCAACCATTTTTTCCAGTTTGCCTGAGAAATTTCTAGGGATAGGCAGCTTGAAACAAAAACAAGATAAATCAAAACAATAACACATTGTTTTTTGAGTTGGTCACCCATTCTTTCGCTCTTCCTCAGGGGCAAGCAATTTCACTTACCTCTAAGCTTCAGAAGTTCCCCGTACGAGCCGCCAAATGCCGCAGTCTGGCTGGGCACAAATGCCGTCTGGCTGGGCACAAATGCCGCAGTCTGGCTGGGCACACAATCACGAGCCACCACACAGCTTGTAGATTCAAACAGCAACTCTTTATTCCCGAACTCACACCAGCCGTCTACAAACACGTTCTGGGGAAATCCACGTTCTCTTCCCAAATCCACCTTCTCTCCCAAATTCACCTCCACTGGGCTTCTATCTCCAAAATATACTGTCTGAATCCCGTGAGAACTCAAGGGGAACTCAGGCAGCAGGATACGCCCTATTCCCAGCAGGAATAATCTTAAACCTTAAACCTGGAACCTAAACTGGGAACGCCCTAAACAAGATTATCTTAAAACCGGGAACACCCTAATCTGCCTTGGTCCTTGAGCAAGGTTAAGTACATTCAATGTCACTGCAACATGGGGTACGCTGGCAAGGAAATTGTCATACTTACTTGGCTAATGGCTCCCAGCAACTATCTTTTTTCTTGGTTGCCTAATGAACATTGTCTTAATCCTTTCCTGCTGCTGTAACAAAATACCACAGACAGGGTTATTTGTAAACAGTAGAAATTTATTTCTCACAGTTCTCTAGTTTTGAGACATAGAAAGGCAATTAGTTTTGCTGCTAGTGCCAAATCAATGTTTTTAATATAAACATCACTGGAAAATGTGAAAGAACGCTTTGAAGCATTGACTCTGTGCTTAGATTCACATCATAAATGTGCATACATCTTTGTCATACATCATTTCATTCTGGTTTTGTGACCAACCACTGCTTCAAATTGTATATTCTGTATACGACTTAAAGCTGCCAAGGCACGTTCAGGAAGAAACCTACATTAAAAAAAAAAGAAGAAGAAAACAAAAATTTAGTTTAAAAATCACTGACTCCAAAGTCATTTGTTTGTTGTTAGTTAAAATGGCCTGACCATTGAGTTATCTAGCTTGTATTTAATTTTCTTCTCTTTCTTAGTGCCCCTCTCTTTTGTGTGTCTTTTAGCATTAGTAGTCCATATTGCAGGCAAACATAAAGAAAACACTGAACATAAAAAACACTCTTCTCACCCTCTCATCTTACGTAAAATTGTATGAGATCTTATATCTTTGATGATCTAAAACTGAAGATCTGAACTCATTGCTGAAACTGTTGCTTAATCTTGATGTCAAGACCATATAGACAGACAGCACAAGAACACACTCCATCCATTTCTCCACCTCTCCTTAAGTAGAAACTGAGTATCTATTACATACTTTATAAAAAGATGAACTAAAGTACTTAAAAAATATCCAGTGCCTTAGGAATTTATTGTTTAGTGGGGAGGCTAATATAGCAAACTTGAAACAATCAATGAAAAATATCAGCCACATACAGTTAAGGACTGGAACCATGAAGAGGGTTAACATGGGCTGGAATGTCAGAAAAAAATCTTCGAAAGACAATTGTATGTTCAAGGATGGGAAAAATTTTGATAGACCAATGAAGGAAAAGAGTATGACTAAATGGAAAGAGACAGAAATAACGTGTTCTGCAAAGAAAGTCATATTGGAATTTTGGTACTGTTCTCTAATTAAAGATTCAATTCCCTGCCTTGGGATGGGAGGCTAGAAGATGAGGGAAGGATCAAAGGGGCAAGGGAGATGAGGCTGGGAGAAGGACAAGGATAAGAAAAGAGCTGGTGCAGGCCTTTCAACTACTCATGAAAAGAAACCTTCATATTAGTAGTTGTATCTGCTCACAAAATGTCTCTCTGAAGAGGAAGTAAGCGTAAAGAAGACTAACTATTCAGGGAGGGAAACCCAGTGGCTTTTATGTACAGGTCCATCTCTGGGGACCATACTTTCTGAGGGGCCTCATCTAGCCCCTTCCTGGGTCTCTGGAAACCTACTATAAAGAAGCAGGAAACAAAAGCCAGTTTGACTTTGGCACTTGCTTTCACCCCAAGGGAAAGTGGCAGCTGGTGGTATCTGAGTCTCTCCCTAGTGGTTGTGGGTTCTCTCAATTATTGGGAGATCAAGTAGACAAAAAAAATCAGTAGCGCTATAGAAACCGAATAACTCTATCAACCACTTTGACCTAATTGACATTTGTAGAACCCTCATTGAGAGCAGAATACTTATTCTTTTCAGGTGTACTTGGAACACTTTCCAAGATATACCAATGTATATTCATCTATACTATATATTAATCTCTGGTATGAAACATATCGGAGATATAAAACATATCTCAACAAATTTAGAATATTTGGCTAATACAATAGAATTAAATTAGAAATGAACAGCAGAAAAATCTCTAGAAAGTTTCCCCAAATATTTAGAGACTAAAAAAACATTTCTAAAGAGTCCATAATATAAAATAGAAAATATTTTGAACAGAATGTAAATAAAAACAAAAAGTATCAAATTTTGAGGGACAGAACAAAAGCACTACATTTGGGGAAATTAATAGCAATAAATGATTTTTTTTTGAAAAAAATTATATATATATATATATATATATATATATATACACACACACACACACACACACACACACACACACACAATAGAATACTATTCAGCTTCACAAAAGAAGGAAATGTATAACATGCAACAACATGGATGAATCTGGAGAACATTGTTCTAAGACATAAACCAGTCACAGAAATGCAACTACTGCATAGTTCCACTATATGAGGTATTCTAAAATTGTCAAATTCAGAGATCCAAACAGTACAATGGTGGTTTCTAGGTACTGATGGATAGAGAAATGGGGAGTTAATAATAATAGAATTTTAGCCAAACAAGATATTTGAACAAACTAGGTGGGTGTGGTGGTGCACACCTGTAATCCCAGCAACTGAGAAGGCTGAGGCAGGATCACAAGTTTGAGACCAGATTCAGTACTTTAGGGAGATTCTCAGCAATGTAGTAAGACTCTGTCTCAAATCTCAAAAACAAAGAAAGGAAGAAAGGAAGGATGAAATAAATAAAAAGAAAAAGACTGGGGATATAGCTCAGTGGTAAAACACCCCTGGATTCAATCCCTAGTATAAAAAAAATAGCATAAACTCTAGAGATCTGAAGTGCAACATTGTATCTATGATCAATACCAGTGTAATGTACATTTATAAATCTATTTAGCACTGGTTGTCAGAGTGAGGGAGTTACTGTTGTGCCAATTCTTCCCACTTAGGGGGACCCACTCTGGGTGATTGTACTAGTATTATCCAAAAATGTAGCTTTTGAGTTTGCTCCAGTTGTTGATAAATTGAGTCTTACTGAAGAGGACTAAAATCCTGATGTAGGTATTCAGTGTCTTAGCACAGTATCTTTTCATCTAGAGGTAGCTTGAAGCGAAGGGCTGAAGGCCAGGAATCCTGAGGAGTGGGAAAAGCCTTCTAGCATGGGTGATGAGGCCTGATTTCAACTTGAATTTCACTTTTTCCCCTCATCAGGTCTGAGCCTGGGACCACTTATGTGACCTTTCTGAGCCCCAATTTCTGAACCTGTAAGAGGAATAATAATTATTTGGCCCTGAAGGATTACTGTGAAGTTTATATTAGATAATATGTCCTATTCACAGGTATTTGGCACACACAGAAAGAATTGACTTTTCCTAGATGGTTTGGGTTCATCTTCCCCAAAAATCAATTGTCTGAATCTAACTGACCTTTCTTATGAGATATTAATAATTAAATGGTGTGATTTTCTCATCATTATGACACATCAGAGAAATATTAACCAATTAAAGTAATATGGCTTTCATCATCTCATTTGAGTGGGTAGACTCTTAGTTTTCCTCTATTGCTTATAACACTGATATTGTCACATTTACACTTTTTTAAAACCATGGCTTATGTTTTATATTTTTATGTATTTTATTTTATGTATTGTATTTTAAAATATAAATATCATTAATATAAAATTTTCTTTTTCCTTTGAATTCCAGTCCTAGAGAAATGTTTCTAGTTTTAATATTTCTATTAAAAGATCACCCCACCCCCCCAAAAATAAAAACCAAACTGTTAAGATGTAGATTTCATGTTGTGTTCCTAGCACAATAAAATAAAAAGGATAAAGTATCAAGTCAATTAATTCCTCCACATTAAGAAATTAGAAAAGAGAAAATTAAATGAAAAGTAAGTAGAAGCAAATTATATATATTAAAGGAGAAATTAATTAGAACATAAAAAAATGGGAAAAATTAATTAAACCAAACACAAGTTTTTTGAAGAGATCAATAAAGTGGACTTCTAACTAGATTATGAGAAGAGAAGGAACAGAAATTATAGGTACCAGGAATAAGAAATTCTAAAGAGTTAAAGGACAATAAAGTAGTGTAATATACAAATTTATGTCAGTATTTTTGACAACTTAGATGAAATGGAAAAAATTCCATGAAAGACACATTACCAAGAATAAATAAGTAGCCCCCAAATTCCTATGGTATTAAAGAAATTAGAATTGTAATTACAAACTATTCCCTCTATGAAAATTATAGGCCCAGTACTTTTGCTGGTGAATTCTACCAAATGTTTACAGAGGAAATAATACAATACCACAAAAAGTATTCCAGAAAATAGAGGTGGGAATGCTCTCCAGTTCACTCTATGAGGTCAGTATTACCCTGGTATAAAATCAAACACAGTACAAGATAGAATTGGTTTATCTTTTAGAATGAATCAATGTAATTCATAATATTAAACTAAAATGGAAATATCATAAGAACTTCTCTATATATTCAGAAAAATCATTTGACAAAATTTTTGTCAAAGTAGTAAAAGAAGGGAAATCCCTCAATCTGAAACCAGAGCACCTGTGATAAAAAATAATTTATAGCTAACATCATATACAATAGTGAAAGGCTGAACATTTTCCTCTTAAAATCAGGAAGAACACTTAGATGCATGCTCTCTCTAGTTCTATTCAACACTGAATTGAACTGGAGATTCTAGTCAGTATAACAAGACAAGAGGGGCTGGGATAATGGCTCAGTAGTAGTACTCCGCCTCGCACGTGCAAGGCCCTGGATTTGATCCCCAGTCCCACATATAAATAAATAAAATAAAGTTATAAAAGAAAAATGGCAAGAAAAAGAATTAAAATCATGTAAAGGGAGAAATAAAAATTTCTTTTTCAATGATTGTATAAAAAATCTGATAGAATCTACAAAAGATCAGTGAGTTTAACAAGTTAGTTTAGCAAGGTTATAGAGTACAAGAATGAAATGCAAAAATGAAATATGTGCTAGCAACAAACAATGGAGAAAGAAAAAAATTTAAACATGCCATTTGCAATACTTGGGATAAATCTGAGGAAAGATGTGAAAAACCTGAAACTGCAAAACTCTGCCTAAGGATTTTTAAAAAATACTTACTTTTTAGTTTTAGGTGGACGCAATATCTTTATTTTACATTTATGTGGTGCTGAGGATTGAACCCAGTGCCTCATGCATGCTAAGTGAACGCTCTACTACTGAGCCACAACCCCAGCCCCTTGTCTAAGGATTTGAAGAAAACAAAACAAAACAAGAAAGATAGATTGTGTTCTTGGATTGGATGAAATCAATAGTGTTATTATGTCATTTCTCCTCCAGTTGGTCTATAGTTGAAGATCAATGCAATCTCCAACAACATCTCAGCAGATTTTTAAAACACAGAGCTTTTATTAACTACTTCACTATATTATGTGCTTTTAAAACTGTCTTTCCTTCTGTTTGAATAGTCTTTAGCAAAGATTGGCCAGAGATGGTAGAGAAAAGGAATCATTTTCTATTTTTGAAATGAGTGAGAAAAAAAGAGGGAAAACTTAAATGTTCATCCCAGGAGTGGAGAGTCTCCATAACAACTTTTACAACTGAAAGATTGTCAATAGTATAGTCCTATGGACAAGGAGTACAAATAGTCCATTTGTGTTTTAGGTGTTCTGTGCTGTACTTACTTTTCCAGTATTAGAGAAATACCAATATATGATGGAACAAAAATCATTTTCTTATTAGTAAGTATTCCATCTATCAGACTTCTTGCAACTTCATCTGTCTCTAATACAGGCCATAATCTGTGATTAAAAAGAAAAAGTTTATTTTCATTTTTAAAAAGATTTATTTATTTAAGTGCTAGGGATTGAGTCCAAGGCCTCATGTGTGTGGCTAAGCAAGTGCTTTACCACTGAGCTAAACCTCAGGCCCCTAGTTTCAATGTTTTTCATTAATGAAGATAGACAAATTAATAGATCCTTTCACCAAAATTAGAATTAGGTTTTAAAATGTTCCAGGTTCTACCACACAAATGTCACTTCCCTCTTTCCCACACATCTCATGTTGATATTTTGTTAATACAATCTTATATTTTTTCATATCTAGTAGGTGTATTTCTTAGCTCACACAGTATAAATACCAAAATGACAGAGAAGTCTTAGATGGTAAGGAATAGAGGAGCCAGAGAACAAAGAAGAATATGTTAGTTCTGTGGCCACTGCTGTGGACAGCATAAAACTGGCACATAGCCTTACCTTTCCATACTGTATTTGTGGAGGATGACCCACTATTGGGAAAGGGGATATTAGGTATAATTCAATGTGGAGGTGTGGTTTCCAGGAGAGAAGGCTTTCTCCATTACCTTAAGTGTGCCTCACTAACCCACCCCTCCCCACTCCTGCTCACTCTTGGCACCCAGGTGTGTATTCACCTTTTTGCTGGACACAAATAAATACCAGTTGCCTAATTAATTGGAATCTGATCACGCCTGCTAGTCCCTAATTTGTTTTGCCCCCCTTTATTTGTTTAACTTCAAAGCAAAACTTAAAGGTAATAAAACAATTTAAAAGGAACCTCCCATTTTCTTAATTAACCAACTTAAAAAGTTTCTCAGATAGTTTTCATATCAATTTCTCATGCCATATTCCCATCCTAACTTGATTTTGACTTTACCTTGTGCTTGGGTTTTTGGTGAACCCAGTATCCACAAAAACTGGGCAGAGACATGAGGTTTTGATACCAGTTTTCCCCAAGGTTTCAAGTTCTGCTGTCAGAGCCCTGTGAAAGCCAACAGCCGCAAATTTGCTGGAACTGTAAGAGAATAACCAACCATCATCAGCTAAAAGAGAGCAAGACAGTCAGCCATCTGTAAGAAAGCAGAATCATTTGATTTGAGAACAAGAAATCAAATCCCCCAAATCGTCTCCTTGTGATTTTTCTGAGAGGATGAATGGTCATTAAGTTTCATTTACATTTTCATATATGTTTAAACAGAATTCTGAATGTACCAAATTGCCTTTTTCTTTTTTGTTGCTGGGTATTTGAACCCAAAGCCTTGCTCATTCTAAGTGTGTGCTCTATCCTTGGTCCCTGTGCCCAGTTTCTTAACTAGCAACCATAACAAAAGAACAATTATAACTTTATTGGCTGGCCCAATGCTCACTTTTCCACCCTACATATAGCATTTTTCCATTCAATCTTCAAAATGTTTTCTAATCAGTTTTTATTATTATTATTATTTTATTTAGAAAATACCAATCATGAAAAACATATTTAGAAATACTGCAAAACTAATATCTGTTTGGACAAACTTCTGTGGGACTCCGAATGTTTTTCTGCTTTTGATGACTGACCTGATAGTTTCCCTCTTGACACTGGTGCCACTTTGTCATCTCAGCACATGTCTTTATCTTTTTTTTTCTTTTCTGATTTTTGAAATGAAGATATTAAAATATAGGTTGTCTTAAAGATTCAATAAAGTACCTACCATATGTATGCTTTATCTATGTAGATTTATTTAAGTATTATGTAGATTTATTTAAGTATTAATTATATAAATGCTTTTGGCCAAGGTGACACATAAAAACAGTAATGTTAGATAATGGTTGTTTTCTCCAAGGAGAATGAAAGAAAAACTATTATTACATTGAGTTTCTGCATTTCTAAATATTAAAACAACAGAAATGTTTAATCTGTGAAATTCTTATTTGCATTTTAAGATGATCAAGGAAGATTGGAACAGCCATATGTGTGTATAATAGCAATCTACCCTATGTTGAAATTTAACTGTATCTGTGACTGCATTCAGTGTCAGAGAGAATTTGGTTCTTGACTCATTTAACCTTGAATGTGTATATATAAGTAAATAATAGATCAACTAACTGCCAACCCACACACCTACCCATTGATACTCATGTGTTGGTAGAGATTTTTCTGAGGTTAATGTAAAGCTGAAGTAAGAAAGGGAGATACCATTACAGAGTATACAAGGAAAGATATCTTGCAAACAGTATATGCTGAAGGCCTCCTACTTCCTTTTTTTTATGTCCTTAATAGAGCCTGGGGGTGTGGTGTTTGCATTGTTTTTACTCAGGTGGAGGCCTCTCTACCACACGTGAGCACACACACATGCACAAATGAACTTTCACTATTCAAACACCCACTGGAAAATGTTTTGATGCAGAGTCCGCTGTGGTTGGCTTATCTTGGACAGACATGCCATGCCATAGATTTGCATTCGTTTTAACTTCTGTATATTTTGTTTCTTATGCTATGTGTTTCTGATTTCTTCTATCAACATCTCTTTATTCCAGGAAGTTATGGAAATATACTTGGTATTTCTACTTTCTTACATTACTCTATAGAGGAATTTTCAAAGATATTTAAAATAAAATTACAATCATTAAAAAAATTATTCTAACTTACTTTTCAAATTCTGCAACTCCAAATTACTGTGCTGTGAGCATTGAAATTCAAAGACTAATAATCACTCAAAAGTACAGAAATACATAGCACTGCTGGCAAGTAATACTTACCAATATGGGATAAGATAGGGAATTACTCCATGGCCACACACTGAAGCCACTGTGACAATGTGGCCGTAATTTCTCTTTATCATTGAAGGAAGAAGTGCTTTTATGATCTTAATGCCAATGTAGAAAGAAGAGAAACAATGATAGAGGCATTAGGTTTCTAAATCAGGTCATCTTATTTTTGTTAAGACATAAGGGCAGACTGGGGATGTGGCTCAGTGGTAGAGTGCATACCCAGCATGTGTGAGGCCCTGGATTCCATGCCCAGACCACAAAAAGAGAATGGCATTTGAGAGAACTTTCCAATGAAATAAAATAATTGCAACATTTTATGACAATTTCTACAAAATGAGAGAAATGAAAAAGATAAGCTTGTATTGGTTTTTAGCTGGCATTAAACACTGAACCTTGTCTATCATCTGCTAGGAACACACCTCAATATTCCCCTTTCTTCTCTCCAGAATACATATATGCATGTGTGCATGTGTGAAAACACACACACACACACACACAAACACACTAGTTCCTTTTTGGATATGTCATCTAAACAATGTTATTATTATTTCAGTATTTTTCCAGTGGAGATAGAACTCAAGACCTCATGAATGGTAGGTAAGCAGTGTGCCATAGACTTATACCTCCAGCCTCTTGATTAAGGGAGAAATTCAGTCTTCAGAATTGAAAGAAATCCCTATGGTAATCTGGTAATCCCTATGGTAAATCCCTATGGTAATCTGGTAATCTTTGTAATTTTGATTGGGGATTCATCATTATAATTACAAGAGTTGAAATCTTTTGTACCTGTCAAACAGTTGAGAAGAATGAACTAAGAGTCATATGGAGACCCAAACTGTTATAAGATATGAGTAGATTCAGCATCTTCCTATTTGTAATATTATAGAAATTATATTTAGTAATATATATATATATATATATATATATATATATATATATATATATATATATATACTACAATATACTAAATCTGTAATACATATATAGTATTATACGTCCATGTTATAGGAAACAAAAAGCCTTTCTTTTTCCCTCCAAACCTTACTGTTTTGTGAAAAATATCAATAATATTTTATAATCCTACCCCATAGACCCTATGTAAATTTATTAGGCTAAAACTACTAAACCAAGCCACTTAGAAATTGTGGACCCATAGAAAGTATGAGGAGATAATGAATGCTTATTGTTGCTCAAACTTCTGAGTTTTGTTATGCAGCTATAGATAGCTAATGTATGGGTCTCTGGGTAGTTTTGTGGGCATGATCATCAATTCATATTGGCATGTGTGAGGGGCTGGGAAAGGTAAAGGGAGGCATCTCTTTTCTGTCTTCAAGAATCCAGATTTGCCCTAGGTTCTACACTAATAGTAGGCCTGGAAGATTGATTCATATAAATGCTTTCCACAAAGGCGGTTGAAATTCATATTTTAGTTTCCCACAAAACTAACGAATTATAAGAGGTTTCTTGAGCTTCTTTCTCTCCTTCCCATCCTTTCTTTTCTTCTTTCCTTTCTTTCCTTCTTTTTGTGCTGGACATTTAACCCAGGGCCTTGACACATTCTAGACAAGTGCTATACCATTGAGCTGCATATCCACCCCCTTTGAAAACACATTTTATTTTATTTTTCTAGTTTGAAAACACATCTTATTTTGAAACAGGATCTCACTAGGTAGTGCAGGCTGGCCTTGAACTTTTGATCCTCTTGCCTAAGCCTCCTGAGTAGCAGGGATTATAGGCATGCACCACCTCACCCAGCAAGCTGTATTTCTAAATTTTAGCATTCCATGGGTCTGGAACTTATCTCAGAGTCCTACCCAGAAGTGTCCCAAACTGCTGTATACATTTAAGTACTTTCTTTGATGTCTTTTCAGTTGTATATTTCCTCTAGAGGTTTGAAAAGACATCTACTGATGACTGACCCTCAACAAAGCTCCACAAATATTTGATAAGGACCTGGTACTTGACAACTGTGTATTCAATACTGGTGGATAAGACAGATCAAGTGGCTTATATTCTGGTGTGTTGTGACCAATTGAACTCTAACCTTCCGTCAGAGACTGTGGCTCTTACCAAGCAAACTTGATAATTCCTGGTTTAAGAAAAAGATTTGGTGTGTTTCCCACACCCAGATGTGTGAACTCAATTATGAACTCCATGTGTCTTCAATGAAGGCATACAGATGTGCACAGATCAGAAATATTTCTGATTATACTCACCCAAAAATGTCCCAGGATGTTGACTTCAAATGTTTTGGTAATTTCCTCATCCTTGGTACTAAGAAGATCAGCTGGATATATTGCTCCAGCATTATTCACCACGATGGTTACATCACCCACTTCTTTCTTTATCTTTTACAATGGAAAGGACACATCAGTTGAGTTATACAAACTCAAAAGTTTTGGGGCTGATATCATCCATATTTTTTATTCTACTAAGTGATGTCTCAGAGTTTAGGCATGAAAAAGCTTCTAGTTCAAATAATAGATGCAAAGGCAAAACTTTCATAAATGTGGGCTAAAATTCTTTTAAACATCTAAATTTTAGTACCAATACATAATGGGATTTTGAAATCTTATCAATAAGGTAAATTTAATATTTGTGTTGATAAATTGATATATAAGTTCTGATTACATATTTTTCAAGTGCTGATTGAGTTATCACAGTTCCACCACCTACAACTACATGATCTTTGTCTGGATTAACCTCCTTGAGCCTTAATTAGCTTATCTACAAAATGAGATTAATAGAACCACTGAACTAAACTAACTTAAAGAATACAGTAGTTTATTGAAGTGTTAGGTTCATTGTGTGTACTTGATATTTGTTCTTTTAAAATTTGTTATAACGTTTTTTTTTTTTTTTCAAACTGGGGATTGAACTCAAGGCTCTACCACTGAGCTGCAACTCCAGTCCTAGAATTATTATAACTATTATTACATTTTCCTTACTAGAGTAAATGATAACTACAATTTTAAAATCTTACAAAGGAAATATTAAAGGAAGAAAAATTACTGCAAAAATACCAGGACTGAAAACTAGCAAGTAATCCATTTTTCCTACTGATAAACCTTTTGTCAGTTACTCTGCGCCACTGCTCAAACTTCTGATCAGAATGAAATCAAACCACAATATGAAACCATCATAATGAGCAGAGTTGAGTGGCTTCTCTAGAACAAAAAAAGCGTACATATCCTTCTTTTGTCACATTACTTCATTTGGCAGTAAAGTCTAATTTAAATCAGTCATGAAGTACCTTTTATTTTGCATGTCAGGGGCCATTGATAACAAAATGTGTGACCTGAAGTCACAGGAGCTGTCTCACCTGATTCATGGAGCTGTAAATCTCCTCTCGGCTACTGCAGTCGACCACAAATGCATGCACAGTGGCCCCTAATTTTTGACATTCAGTTGCAGTTTCCTCAACACCATGCTGTAATTGGGGGGAAAAATATTCAGGAAAGAGTGGAAGAAAAAGCACTGGACAAGAAAATTTTTAAAAATATTAAAATTCACATCCAGTGTACCTCCTTATTTTTAAGAAACCTCTTGAGAGAGATTGTTTGCTTGCATTTCTGAAAAATTAGAATTCTCCTCAAGATTTAACATCTGCTGACTTTTATAGAGACGGTTATATGTTTTTAAAAATTATACTTTTCCCCTCACAATTTATAAACTATTCTCTGTGGTAAAGAGGTGAGGACATGTCAAAGTTCTTTCCTCCATTATTTGGGTTCATCCCTGAGGGAATGGTGGCTGGTTTTCCTTTACCAGCACTGCCTCCCCTGCATTCTCTGTATTTCATGATTTGGGGTAAACCCTGGAGCAGCAGCCTGAAATCCCAAAGAACAGTCTTTAAAGAGCCCAGGACTATTGTAGCAAAGCCAGTGTCCTTTCAATTAGCCTTTTGAGGGGTTGCAGAAGAGTAAAAGGGGGATGGGTCAGGAGAGTCACTGACTTCAGCTTCAGCAGGTAGCTTGCTCACTGCCAGAGTGCATGGAGGACTATGTAATTCTCCATTCTGTCTGTAGATTCAAGGTCATAAGCAGCATTAGTAACCAGAGCTTTCATCCGATACTTTGATGAAGAAAAAATTCTTGAGTTATATCATTGAGCTAGAGCACTGCAAAATGTGGTGCCTTGTCTTTTTATAAATGAAATGCATGCTTCATTTGCAGCTTCAGTGTGCATTGTGAGCTCCTCTTTTCACTGTGTTCCTAAAGCAGCAGTTTCGATGGAACAAGGGCCAAACTTGCCTCTCATCTTGGAAGGCAAAAGAAACCAGCTATGACAAAAACCCAGTTGGTCCTTGACTAAATGAAAACTGAATTACACCCGATAGCCTTAGAGCAAGTCATTTAATATTTTAATATTTAACCATAAAATTCAAGGATTTGCAGAGAATTTTACAAGGTTGGGTTACCCATCATTCAGGCAGAACCTTAAGTCCTTTTTAAATAACTTCTTTCTAATTTTATGTTTGCCTTGTCACTGGAAATGTTAAAATTGAAAAAAAAAAAGTAATAGATATAGTCCTCTCTCCAAAAAGACATATCTGGAAAGAGATCCAAAGGTTAAATTTTCATGGATTTATGAAATAAATGCCTGAGAAAAGCAGATAACAATTTTCTCAATTTGTAAATTCTTGTCCTAATCTAGAAAGTTTATTGGAATTTCTTCAACGATCAAATTCATGCCAAGTCATTTTCATATGTCAAATCGTTTTCATCTAATATACAAATGCTCCTATCTGTTAAGTAAGGAAATACCAACTTTTTCTTGAAAGTTATTCTTCACTATCCAGAAAGAACCAGAGAAGAATTAGTTCCTAAAGTTCAGGAGATATTTTCAAAGTCCCTAGGAAAATAGGTGTCAACTAGACATGATGGCAAGGAACATGAGAGTAATAATTTAATGGCAATTTAAATCTCATTGTGATTGGTGGAAGATCTGGTTTTCAAAAAAATTTTGCAAGTTTTCCAATCTTAAATTTTTTTGGTACATATATTCATGATTTTATGAGAATTTATGAGTTTAGGGAAAACCATATACAACCTCAGTTATTTCAGATTTTGGGGAGGTAGTTAAGATAGCATTTACAAACAAGAATACAAGAGAAATATGAATATCCAAGAGAAATCTTGACTCCCTGCACTTAGATTTTATTTAACATATCTAATGCTAACCATGTGCTAGGCATTATTCTAGGCACTTAAAATACATACTTAATGCTCTTGTCTAGGAGTTGGCAACATTTTTCCTCAACAGGCCTAAGAGTGAATATTTTAAGAGTATGTGTGTGAGACAGGAGGCACTAAGGGTTTCAGTAGCATGTTCTTCTTTGTTTCTTTGGGTTTTATTTTGATAACCCTTTAGAAGTGTTAATATTATTCTTAGCCTAGGCTGTCACAGGATAGATTTGGCCCTTAGCTATAATTTGCTATGGTTCTTGATACCCCTAAGGTATTATCCCCATTTCAGATTTAAGAAGGCTGAGACAGAGAGAACTTGTGACTTGGCTAATTTAAGCAGCTTGGAATGATCCTGGCTCTATGTTTTTTGTTATACTGTGCATAATGACCTTACTTTCAAAAAAATCACTGCTCGGGTCTTAATTATGTTCCCTTCATATAATCAACCTGATGCAAATGTATAATAAACTCCAGAAAATTTAACCAACTCTCATAAGAGAAATATGAAGATAAGCAATGCTAAATCAAGAAATAAAATATGAGTCCTACTTTGTGAGTTTAAAAGATTTGGCATTACATCCATTACCTTATTAATATCCCAAAGAACCAGTCTGCTTTTCCGCTTTGCAAATTCATAGGCAGTCAGCCTGCCTATTCCATGCCCAGCTCCGGTAATGAGAACAATCTCTCCAGCCACAGATTTTCTCCTTCGGGGAAGGAAAAACTTCACCAATGACTCCAAGTAGGAGTAGATGATGGTGACCAGAAGCAGGAGGATATCCAAGACAATGTTCATGGCTTAGCTCTACCCTCTTCCTCTGGCTATCTTTGTGTAGTCCTCAGAATGAGATGGCCTCTGCACAGAGCACCAGTGAAGACCTGTGTGCCCAGGTGTCGACAGCAGAGCTAGATGAGGAAGGCTTTTGTGTTCTGATGAGTCAGAGCCACCTCTTGAGTTTTTGAAGTGATGCCAGTTGCTAGCAAAAGCTTAGCACAGATCAAGGGAAAATGATCTTTGGTCATGTTTGTCTTAGAGCTGTTGTGTACCATGTTTCAACATGAAATTTAACCTCTAGAAGTAATTTTAGAGGTGAAAGATAATAGCCTGGTATCTCTCTGTAAATTGAGTGTGTGTGTGTGTGTGTGTGTGTGTATTTATTTTTTCAGAAGAGAAAAGGAGAAAGTAAGATCATTATCTCAGAAATTAAAACATGGGTCAGTGAAATGTAGTGGTTTTGATGTTATTCACAAAATTTCAGCATTAATACTATATTTCAGCTAGCTAATCATCTTACATATGATTTTCATTTCTCAGAAAAACTTCTGAGGTTGAGGGAGATTTTAGGTTATGTAAGACAATCAGTTCCCTTTATTATGATATTTGAAAGATCATTTAACCAGGTGTTAGAAGTCTTGATATCTGACATCTGTTTTAGTTCAGGTAACTTTAACAAATTACATAAACTTATGTTGGCTTATAAGCAGTAAAAAATTATTTCTCACTGTTTTGGAGGCTCTGAAGTCCAAGATTGAGGAAATGTTAGGTTCCAGAAGAGTCTATGTCTAGTGAGGACTGGCTTTCTGGTTTATAGACTGCTTTCTTTTCACTATGATCTCACAAGGCAGAAAGAGGAAAGGAACTCTCTATGTTCACTTTCTAAGGGCCTCATCCTACTGGCCAAGTCCTCATGATCTAATCACCTTCAAAAGGTCCTATTCATACTACTATCACATGGGGGTTATGCTTTCAACATATGAATTTGAGGGGAACACATTCAGTCTTTAGCAACTTCCTAGCCTAGTGAAAGAACTCTTGTCCATCAATAGATGAATGGTATGAGATACATAAACACACACACACACCATATATGTACATATATATGTATATATATATATATATGGTATGCACAATGGAATATTATTCAGCTTTTAAAATGATAAAGGACTTTTTCTTTTCTGGAGGCTAAGACAACAGATTGGCTCCTGGACAAGTTAGCAAGCCCCTGTCTCAAAAAATTTCTAGAGATGATGTAGCTGAGTAGATTGAACTTCTAGGTTCAATCTTGGATCTAATTCCCAGTAATGAGAGAAAAAAAAGGAAGGAAAAACACATGCTACAACATGAAGGAAGCTCAAAGACAATATGCCAAGTCACATAAGCTAGACACAAAAGTACAAACATGGTATGATTTCACTTATAAAAAGTGCCTAGAGTAATCAAGTATATAGAGATAGAAAGCAGAATGGTGGTGGCTAAGGGACGCAGGTAGGGAGCATGGGGTGTTACAGTTTCAGTTTGGGATGATGGAAGTTCTGAAGGTGGGTGGTGGCAATGGTTGTACAGCAACAGGGATGCACTTCATGCCATTGAACTGTGCGTTTAGAAATGGTTAGAATGGTACACTTTGTGTTGTGTATGTGTGACTTTAAGTAATCCCTTTTATTTTTTCTCTGTTTTAGTTTCCTTTTCTGGAAAATATAGATAAAGCTCACTTTACCCAATACAGACCTTTTCCCCACATCACAATGTCAACCTTCCTTTACACAAGGCAGTTATAAGGATCAAAGAGAGAGCATACATATGAAATGGCTTTACAAGTAGCTTGCTAAGTTGCCCAGGCTGGCCTTAGGCACTTGGGCACTTGTGTCATTCTCTTACAACACTCTTGTCTTAGCCTCCAGAGTAGAAAGGTTCCTTCATTTTAAAAGTTGAATAATATTCCACTATTTATGTACTGTACCATTCATCTGTTGATGGACAGGAGTTCTTTCCACTCTTTGGGATGGTTACAGAAATGAAATAATAGTAATAGTGTTACTATTACTATTGAGCTCATGTGTTAGTGCAAGAAGGTTTAGAGGAGAAATATTAACCCAATCGGTGATTTAATTCCCTGATAGGGATTAACTGAGTGGTAACTGGGGTGGTAGGGTATGGCTGGAGGAAGTGGGAATTGAGGCATGGCTTTGGGTATATTTTTATCTGTCAAGTGGACTCTCTCTGCTTCCAGATCACCATGTGAGCTGCTTCCCTCTGCAGCACTCTTCTTCCACAATGTTCTGCATCATCTTGAGCCCCAAGAAATGGAGCCAGACATCTTTGGATAGAGACCTCTGAAACTGTGAACCCTCAAATAAACTTTTCCTCCTCTACAGTTGTTCTGTTGGATCTTTTAATCACAGCAGCAAAAAAGCTGACTAAAACACATAGTAATGGGCTGAATTTATTAAGCACACACCATATGCCAGGGACTATGAATATTTAATCCTCACAATATATAATTGAGGTGGAAACCATTAAAATCTGTATTGTATAGATGAGGAACTGATATTAGGGCAAATAAGTAACTTGTTGACAATTACATGACTGGTAAGAAGTGGAATGAAAATTTAAGCCCAGAAAGTCTGATTCTGAAGCCCCAACTTGTAACTTAACAAGTTTCTGAATTAGCACTGCTTTTGTACTACAGGGTACATGAGTGCATATCTGAGAGATTTTTTTGATTGCCACAAATCAGTCATGCTACTGTCATCTAGTGGGTAAAGGCCAGGGATGCTGCAACATCTTACAATGCATGGGACAGTCCTGTGCATTGTTTTGTTTTGTGTTTTTGTGGGGTTGGGGATTGAACCCAGGGTCTCATGCATGCTATGCAAGTGCTGTACTGTTGAGCCACATCTTTAGCCCCGTCCTGTGCATTAAAACAGAGAATTATCCAGCCCCAAATTTTAGTAGTGGTGAGTCTGAGACCCTCTGACCTATGCTATACCATTTTGCATCAGAGAGAGTATAATTGGTTAAGTTTGAAACTCGAGTATGTGTACACACAGACGCACACACAGATATGTGTATATATGTATATATAAGTGCTTGACTATTCGGCATGCAGTTTTGCAGTGTTATTTATATAAACTCTTAAATATTAACATGGGTAGGTTAGATTAATTCTCATGCTGGGCTGCAATGCAGAAATCTGTTTTCAGGTTGAGTGTCTCTAAAGGCAACAGTCAGTTTGCTCAGAGGGAGCTAGACCAGAGGACAACACCATCTAAATCCGTATGCTACTGATATACATCTGAAAAACCATTTAAAAATTTATAGAGTCTAGATTATTTTGTTTCTGGGGTATTTGTGTTATCCAAGAAATAAGAAACACCAAGAAAGTGAAAAACAATATTTTTCTCAAATAGTTTGGATGCTTAAAACTTTTTGTCTATGAGATTACCTAATGAAACTTGGGAGGCTGAGGCAGAAGGGTCATTAGTTCAAAGCCAATCTCAGCAACCTACTGTACCCTGTCTAAAAATAAAAAGGGCTGGAGATGTGACTCAGGGCAAAGCAATCCTGGGTTTAATCCCTAGTACCACAAAGGTGGGAAGAGATATTACCTGGTGAACTACCATTTTTGTTTTCTGTTCCTCAAATATATAGGTTCCTATATACTTCCTTCAATAATGCTAGAAATATACAATCTACTCCCTGTTCCCTGCCCTCCCTACCTAATTTTTGGAGACATTTTGTTTGTATGTCTTTATGACACCATTAGCTTCATTTTAACATATTTTAATAATAAAAATGTTTAGTTTACTTTAATCATGTTTTTAGGTCAGTTTTTTTCTTCTGATATCAGTGAAGGTAACTTGAATTTGTCATTCATTTTCTTCATATCACATTTTAGGATGTTATTCTCAAGTAAAATTTTCTCAATTAAGCTAAAATCATCTATAGTATTTAGAATTTTATTAAACTCAAATACTTTCTGAACTCTGCCTTTTCCTTTTCCCATTGAAATGTCTGCTGGTGGTACAGTGGAGATATTTTAGGAACTTAGCTATGTGTCTGGAGTTCAGAGGGAGGATCTAGGCTGGAAAAAGAAATGTAGGGATGGTGACTGGTATGTGTATGTGTGTGGTGGGATTTTGGTGAGGTAGGGATAACTCCAGGCTTTTGGCTTGGGCACTTGTGTCATTCTCTATTAGGTAACACAGATGAGGTACAGGAGATGTTAAACTTTGCATATGTTGAGTTGAAGACATTTACTTAACTGGAACTGGAGATGATATAGATTATGTAGTCTAATTTAATTCTTTTATGGATGAGGAAATGGAAGTTCAGGAACAGCTAGCTTACATGAGATTTCCCAGGGCATGTTCTGCAGTTTGAGGCCACCTGAAATTGTAGGGAAGACTATGTAAGTAAAAAATACCTCTAGGTCACTGAATCTGGGCTTGACTTAGTCATCCTAGATATCAAAACAAAAAAACCCCACAACTTTTTGTAGTCATATTGGTGCTCAAGCCAAGTGAAAATTCCTGCCTACTTTGGGGAAGAATTTAGTGTCCAGGGTGGGTTAACACTCTCCCAATATTGATTTATATTTATTTTGATTTCAGGAAACTTTAGACTGTGATGATAATAGGAATAGGCTAGGCTGGGCCTTTTTCAGGTGGAATAATTGGGCATCTGCATTGTAGCATTTATTGCATCTTAAAATGGTTGAATAGTTTGTTACTGTTGTAGATTCCTACTTGTGATTTTAAAATATTGTTTGAATTCCAAGGAAAGTTTGGGTAAATGGAAGTAGGGTAAATGGAAGGGTGCTTAGAACAATAATTCAACTCTCTGAGAATCCCAGTGAGGCTCTATGATAGGTCAGTAAGTCGGGATTTTCTATCCAGAGTTTGATTTCTAATTAGCTACAGAATTTTAGGTAGGTTGTTTCAACTTCTCTGGGATATGATTATCCATAAAATGGGGATAAGGGGGTCTACCACACAGAATTGTCAAAGGAAGCACATTTGGTTCTTGATCATTGTTTCCCTTCTTCATAATAACATTGAACCATTTAGCCAGCAGCCAAGTTGGTGTTGAAGATGTACTAAGGGTCAGTTTTAGATTTTCCACTCTTTCTAATCCCAGT